GTATATTAAACGTAATTATGAACTTAAGAGCCCTATTCGGCGAGTTCAGTTGTATGGGTGTTAGGTGAAATAATGGACCGATGTTAACCATTTTTAATAGGCTTCATCTCCGAAACTTTAAATGTTTTACTGCAACATTACGCCTGCTTATGTTGCAACCCTAAATTTTTCACTACCCGATAACTTTTTTTCTAATCATTGTCAGATTCCTAAAACAGCTGTATCTTTTTCTGGTTCTTACAAATGTATCTACCTTAATATATAGGTTTTGCATATATTTGTTTATGAATTTTTAGTCTATAAAATTGTATATGTGTGACTAAGTCTCTGTGTATTTGCCAGCCTTGTGGTATTTACCATTACATTAGATAATGATAACATAACAAAAACCAAATAAAGCCGATCTCTGCACTGTGGGACAATACTAATGAAAATTATCATACTATCTGGAGAACGTTTAAAAAAGCTAACTACTAACTATAAAAATTAGTAAAATCTTTTCTCAAAGTTAAAGACAACAATTAACTAAATATCCAATATTCTATTCTCCAATTGAGGATTCAAAATCTTTATAGAACTATCCAATAAAAGAGCTTTTTAGGAATACCACTAAAAAGTTTACATAAAATAAGCTTTTGCAGTAATTTATAGACGTTTTAATGATTTAATTTAAAACTGAGTAGGAAAAGAACTTCTTTTTAAGAAGGGTTTCAAACATTTAATCAATATTTAAGACTAATAGACATGGCTAAGTCGAAGTAAGAATTAAAGGATTATGTATTATATACAATGTGACTAACGGGGTATATTGATGTTGTCATTCCGTTAGTACAAGTATATTAAGGATTCTTATAAAATATCAAAACTATTAAGCCATGTCCGTCTGTCTATTAGTTTAAAGCATTCGACATATAGCACGAGCCATATCGGTCTTCTGTTTAAGATCTAGCTCCCATACAAGTAGCATTCTTCAATACTGTTTAAGTACATTCCATATTTTAGCTATATCCGAAGATATTTAAGAAAAAACAAACTTGGAAAAATTGTCTTTAGCGACCCATAGTATAACTTTATTATTAAAATAGCATATAACCTTAAAACAACTCTATTTTATGCATACATATGTACATATGTATGTTTATTTGTGTATTATTATAATCCGTTTGATAATGGTGTTTATAAATGTTTTAATATTTTGTGATCCTGTTGTTGTCCTGTTGGTTTTAATGGTTAGTTGGCTGGTTATTTTGGTCTATTTTAACCCAGTTTTTATCAAACAATTTTTATGCCAATTTTAAGCAATTTAAAAAAAAACGAATGACTAAATAATACCAGCACAGTAAGTACACATGTGTTTTAATTCCTATTGATTTTTTTTGTTAAAAATTTGTGGTTGTTATATTTTTTGTTTACAAATACTACATTTTTAATAGAACATAATAAATTAAATAAAAAATTGTTTTTATAAACCTCAAAAAAAAAAACAAAAAAAATAAAAAATAAATATAATATGTATATGTATATGAAAATATGCTTTGAGGCTCAAATCATTTAGGACAACCAAAATCAAGCAATTCAATATTTGTTAATAAAACTGAATGATGTTGCTTATGTAAATATGTATGCATGTATTGACCAGCTGCCTGTAAATGTGGTTTGGAAATGAAAAAAAATAAACATAAGCGTTAATTCCTTATTGCTTAATCCGTTTTCCCTTTTGTAACCATTATTATTTATTGGCCATGTCCCTGAAATTTCTTTTTTATACCCTACACCACTTCAGTGGGGAGGGTATATTGGGTTTGTGCTGATGTTTGTAACGCACAATAATATTGGTCCTATACCCATCATAAAGTATACCAAGCGGCTCAGAATCATTTTCTGAGTCGATTTAGCTATGTCCGTCCGTCTGTCTGTCTGTCTGTCTGTCTGTCCGTCCATGTAATCAAACTACAGGTCGCAATTTTGAAGATAATTCAATGAAATTTGGTACATGATCTCCTATTGTCCCAGGGACGAAGCCTATTGAAAATGGTTAAGATCGTTCCATTATTTCACCTAGCCCCCATACAACTGAACCCCCCCAATAGGGCTTGTAAACCTTGTAATCAAACTACTCGCAATTTTGGAGATAATTCAATGAAATTTGGCACATGATCGTTTATAGTACCGTAGACGAAGCCTATTGAAAATGGTTAACATCGGTCCATTATTTCACCTAGCCCCCATACAACTGAACCCCCGAATAGGGCTTTTAAACTTTGTAATTAAACTACAAGTCGCAATTTTGGAGATAATTCAATTTGGCACATGATCGTTTATAGTACCGTAAACGAAGCCTGTTAAAAATGGTTTACATCGGTCCATTATTTCACCTAGCCCCCATACAACTGAACCCGCCGAATAGGGCTTTTAAGTTCATAATTATGTTTAATATACTCATATCTCGAAAAAAAAGCTGCAAAAACCAAGTTCTATACAAGATTTGATGACCCTCACGAATTCCATAATAATAGGTCCTCATATGACCCTAGCCCCTATGAAAAGCCCACATCAAAATTTCACTTAAATGTCCACAATTTTATTTAACAATAAACGGCTTAAGTATGTATATCTGAGGCAAGGTACAATTCAGTTTAAATGCAAATTTGCAATTATGGCAAATAAATCACATTATATATCGGCCTCACCCGACTATAATATCTTACTTCTTTTTACTTATAGTTATTCATCTGATTTTTTTACAATTATTTAGTTCATTTGCAATTCTTTGGAGTATTTAAATTAACATTATATAGGTACTTTTTATAATCAAAATAGTCTATTACTATAAAATAGCATTTTTTCTGAATTTTAGCTATTTAATAGCAGCATTTATAATTGGCCGATTATTGCCTTTTGGCATTTATTTGCAAGTGTTTTTTTTTTATTTATGACGTTTTTAATTGTCACTTGTGTATTAAATTGCATTATTTTGTATAACTTTACCCAGTAGAATCATTAAAATTTACAAAAAATATAAAAAAAAAAAACAACTCATGGATTTTAACACGGCCAAATGTATACAAACACTGAGAGAACCTTAATCACTCTCTTAACTATACTAATGCTAAACAAAATTTTCACTGGCTGTTACATACCATTAGACCAGTCCCTTAAAATTAGACTATCATTTGAGGTTTATTATTTTATTCTAAAACTAAGTGAAGCAAATTTTGAGACAATATAAAAAACAGTTTGTAATTTACTAACTAACCAATAATTTTTCTAACCAAATCTTTTGTTGGGTCTGGCCTAATGTTTATAAACTGGCTTTTGTACACATATGTGTTGGCTTGCTTAACAAACAACATTTTTTTTTAATAACTAAAAAGTTTGTTAATTACAAGTTTTCTAGTAAATTATTTCTCAACTGTATAATTAGTTTAGTATTGTGCAAATCAACAAACTTTGAGAAAAAAGTAGTTCAACATCAAAATTCAAATTAGTTTCCAAAATTCCATAGATTTTTATTTGTTGCAGTTTTACAAAAGGCATCTTCTTGCATCTTAAATTTCAATAAAAACAAGTGAGAGTGTTATATGCGGCTGTGCCGAATCTCATACACCCACAATATGACCTATCATAACTTTTTGTAGACCGATTTTGGTTCATATAAAACTTGTTTACATTGAATATCATCGCTGTACTCGCATTTTTATTCCAGTAATTAGCGTTGAAGTAATTTTCTGAAGGAGGCTTATATGGGGGTAGGGTGAGTTACCGACACATTCCGCATGAAATTCGTAAGCAAGATGAACGTTCGTATAAAAGTTTCTTATGTCGCATTTCATAACCGTATTTCATAGATCGCGTTTTTAAGCCAGCAATGATCGTTTAAGTAATTTTATGAAGGGGACCTTATATGCGGGGTAGGGTCTATTATGGAACGATGTACATACAATGTGGTACTCGTATTTTTAAGCCAATAATAAGCGTTAAACCCATTTTCTGAAGGAGACCTCAAATGGGGAGCGGGTGGTGTTAATTATGTACCGATCCTCAAAAATTTTGGTAGAAAGAATTTGGCTCATATGAAACTTATTTATGTAGAATTTCATCGCTATACTCGAATATTTAGGCCAGTAATGAGCGTTATAGTCATTTTCAGAAGGGGACAGACAGACAGATGGACAGACGGACGGACATAGCTAGATCGTCTTAGAATTTAATAGAGATCCAAAATATATAAACTTTTGTAGGTCTATGACCAATATTTCGATATACCCACCATCTTTTTTGATGGTGATAAAAGCTGTATTTCAAGAACATCCTTGACAAGTGATTTTATACCGATGGAAAACACTTTGTCTTTTTGAGAACTAATAAAACATCTTAGAAACTAAAATTTTCCCTCATATATCTAAGAAGTCTTTCTTTAGATGAAAAAGACCCTATTAGAAAGTGAATAACACCGCTTATCACGAAATTTTCCCTTCATAACCAGGCGGTCTTACTAAAGCGAATGTATGTACATATATCTACGGAAAATATTTATCACTCAAAAAGCTATGTATATTACCTATAAACAACACTTTCAATTAAAAGTAGCTTTTTGTTTATCAACTACACATTAATTTTTCCCCAAAAAGAAACCAATTCGTTGAAAATCATTCAATATCTCTCATCTTATTAACCCAAATACAAATTAAATGATATTTACATAAATGTGAAGGAAAACACATCAGCATTAAGCAAAGAAAAATCTCTCACAAACAAACACACACACACTTAACCACCCGCTCAACCCCTTTTCAATCTACAAATAAGTAAATAAAATTAAATAAATAAACGTATGAGTGTGTGTGTGTTTAAATGAGAGTATAAATGCGTGAGAAAGGATGTAGGTAAAAGTAAGTAAATATACTTACTTAAAATACGTAAATATGTATTTGTTTATTTAATAAACGTACATACATACGTACATATGTATGTATGTATTCTTATTTATTTGTACTTACTGTTCTTTTGAAAATCCTGGGACTCGTCGCAAACAACCAGACCACTTAATGCGATCAATAAAGAGCCAATCACAACCAAATGTTCCACAATTGATGAGATACTTCGAGGACGAGGTAACCAATTTTTTAAGCCATCCACTGATGTTCTGCTTGTTGCTGTTGTTTCTGTTTGTTTTTGCTGAGGAGACTGCTGAGGCTGAGGACAGTGCTGACGATGATGATGTTGGACTTGCTGATGGTGGAGTAATTGTGACTGGGCAGATGATGAGGTTTGTTGTGATGTGCATTGGCATATTGTTGTTGCCGTTGTTACTTTTTGTATTGATATTGTTTTGTATGGATGTTGCTGCGTCAGCTGCTGCTGATTTAGCTGTAGTTTTTGTTGTTTCTTCAATTGTAGGCTGGAGGCGGTTAAACAATTCTGATTTGCATTTGTTATAAAACTTTGATTTTCTACATGTTCTGGACGTTGTTGATGTTCCTCCTCTAACTCTTGCTGTGTTATAGCATATGTCTGATAGTGATGATGACGATGTTGGTGATGATGATGGTGTTGTATATGATATTGTTTTTGTAATATTCTCTGTTGTTGGTATTGATTTTGGTCTGGCATTAATTTGATTTTGTTTGTATTTGTATAAAATTGCCAAGTTTCCATTTTTAAAGTCTGTTCTCCTTGTTTCAGTTGTTGCTAGTGTAACTTCTGCTTTAACCACGTTTTTCCTATTTATTATTGTTTTATTTGCATTAACTATTATTGCACTAGTTTTTGTAGTTGTAAACTCAATATCATGAAAATACGTCATTTATACTTTGGCATAAAAATTATTTATAAATTTTAAAACTCTCAACAAGAGTTTAAAATGAATTTGAAGCTTTATGTACATTAAAGTTTTTGTGCTTTAAAATAATTTTATTTATTATTGATGTATAACTTTGCTTTAGGATTTAAGCTTTTTTTTGGCTTAAGTGATGATTATGTTGCCAATAATGATGACGATGATATGTTGCCAAGCAAATTTTTGTAAAATTTCTAATGTTTGACCACCTGTAAAAAAAAGAAAAACAAGTATTAATGTAAAAGTTTTAAGCTTAAAGTTTGGGAAATTTTTCTAAAAGTATTTACTTTTTATGGCTCGTAGTACCATAAATAAATTAATGATAAATGATGCAGATTAAAGTATATTTTTGAACATAAGGTAAAGAAAAGAAAATATTCTTAAACCTTTAAGGAAATTGTAAAAAATCGAAGGACCACATTTACTGAAAACATTCAAAAACAGATTATGCCCTTTCGGAGACTTATACGCATAAAAAGTGGTAAATATAATAATTTTGTATGTGACTTTTTTGTAATCAAGAACTTTCTGTTTCTGAAGTTGTAAATTTCCCTAAGATTATTCCAAAATTTGGTTCGAAGGACCATAAATTATATTATTTTATTTGATTTTATTCCACGAACACCCCTTTGTAAATAATTAATGTAAAACCTTCCCTTTGATTTTCCGCCAAAAATCAATTACACATAAATAAGTCGAACATAAATTTGATGGTTTAGAAGAAAAGTACGTACATACATACATACATACTTTTAAAGCTATTTGAAATATTGATTTGTGACACCCAACCCCAAATAAACCGTGATCCTAAAAGCAGACTTTATACATGGCTAAAGTAATAACAACAAGCTAAAATTGTTTAGAAATGTTTACAATATTTGAAACTTTTATTGACAACTTGAGGTCATAAATAACACAACATCACTCGTAAAAATCGTATGTAATCGTCTGTTATTTTCCCATCAGCCTAAAATAATAACAGTAGCAAAGAAACAACATTAAACATATTGTGAAGGGTACATAATTCATACATAAATACATATATTTATTTTGTTGTTGACATTGTTGTCGTTATTCAACAGAAATAAAACAAAAAAAAAAAAAAAAAATAGCTGGAAAAAAATATAATATTTTGAAGTCATAAAAGTGTCAATATCCAATGTTAAACCCAGTAACTAATACTGCCTGCCTGCTATACAGGATTCTATTATTATGGCTAAACAAAAACAACAACTTTCACATGTTGTGTCCTTTGTTTGTTAACGTTATTGTTTATTGTTGAAATGTATGTGAGCTAAAGTTTAAAACAGAAAACAATTTTGAGAAAATGAGCACAAAACTTTTGTTACTTTAACAACCATGATTTACGTCTATTAGATTTGCGATTTGTTAAAATGAAAGTAGTAGCAGCAGAGACAGCCACAATAAGCGAATAACGAAAGTTTTTTTTTGCAAACGTGGGTAGATTGTAAAGTATACGAAGAGAAAACTGGTACTGAAAACTAATGTATAAAAAAGGAATTCAGTTGTTAGAATACAAAAACTTTCACTGCTTGCTTAATATGACATCATACACAAAAAAAGTTTCTTTCTCCTTTACGCAAGTCCCTTTTTTGTTTTTGTTATTTATGAATTTTATGTATTAAAGTAGCAAAACAACAACGACGACATTATAAAATAATATAAAAATATTACAACAAATAAACGACATCCTTCTATTACAGAAAAAAAAGGATATAAAATAAGTATAGTAAAAACAAATACAAATGAAACAAACAAAACAAACGCTTAATATTTTGATTGAAAAGAAGATTAAAAAAAGGACCTTTCTATAGAAAAAATGTGTGTATAAACGTATGTAAAAGTGTGTTGATGACACTTTGAAATAAAATTCATAATTATTACAATGTAAAATACTCAACCACATAAACTCGTTCACACACACACACACATCCTACTCATACATGTAGTAAAATAAAAGTTTTTGTCTCTCTGTTTTCAGCAGACCAACCAGACTGTTTGATTAAAACTTTGTTGTTTGTGTGTTTTCATCCTTTTTGTTTAATTGCACTGAATATGTTTGTGTATATGTGTTTTATAATGTATGATAGATAAATAAATATGAATACATTTATATATAACTTTTTCACAACACTCTTTGACAATTACAAACAATACTTTTTAACTTTTTCTCGCATACACAACACATGCACACTTCTTATGTTATCCTTTCTCTCTCTCCATATAAAACACATGTTCATTGTATGTATGTATATTTCATTAAACAAAGGCTGCAAAAAGGAACTTATTTTTTCTGTAAGTGACTGACTGAGTAAGTTGGTAATAATTACGGTACTTTGTAAGTGAGTGACACAAATATTCTCTTTTTGCAGCTTGGCTTCTTTTGCTCAGTGCTTTTTTTCTATCTTTATATGAGTATGTAAACAGAAGTCTACTATGCTGAATTAAATAAAGTTGTCATCTAACTGTTATTTATATTTGCTATTGTTGTGTTGTTAATGAGCATATATGTAAGCTTATGTGTGTTTGTTTGTCTACAAATGTGGGAGTTGTTAAAAATAAAAATGAAGTTGTGATTTAATCTCCTGCCAAAGTTTATCTTTTATTCCTTTTTTGTTAATTCTCATTCTACTTAAATTTTCATAATGCTGTCTCTCTATCGTTCACTGCTGATGACAGAGGCTGAAATTGGTGTTAAAGGCAGACAAATATTAAAAAGACATACATACATTTAGTCACAAAAGCATAAGTTCTAATTTCATAGTTTTTTTCTTTTTCCTTTCATTTTAATTAATCCATAAAGATAAATAAAAAGGAACATAAGTTTGATATTGGTTTTGTAACACATTCATTAAAGTATTTAGAAAGCGTCTGTATACATTGGTATCGAGTTTTTATTGTAATTGGAATGTGGTCAATTATAATGGGTGGTAAAGGAAAATGTGAATCAATTGATTATTTATTTTACGGATTACAACATCTTGTTCTAGTTCTAGTTCAGTTCTAATTCAGATCTAGTTCAGTTCTAGTTCAGTTCTAGTTCAGTTCTAGTTCAGTTCTAGTTCAGTTCTAGTTCAGTTCTAGTCAGTTCTAGTTCAGTTCTAGTTCAGTTCTAGTTCAGTTCTAGTTCAGTTCTAGTTCAGTTCTAGTTCAGTTCTAGTTCAGTTCTAGTTCAGTTCTAGTTCAGTTCTAGTTCAGTTCTAGTTCAGTAGTTCAGTTCTAGTTCAGTTCTAGTTCAGTTCTAGTTCAGTTCTAGTTCAGTTCTAGTTCAGTTCTAGTTCAGTTCTAGTTCAGTTCTAGTTCAGTTCTAGTTCAGTTCTAGTTCAGTTCTAGTTCAGTTCTAGTTCAGTTCTAGTTCAGTTCTAGTTCAGTTCTAGTTCAGTTCTAGTTCAGTTCTAGTTCAGTTCTAGTTCAGTTCTAGTTCAGTTCTAGTTCAGTTCTAGTTCAGTTTTCAGTTCTAGTTCAGTTCTAGTTCAGTTCTAGTTCAGTTCTAGTTCAGTTCTAGTTCAGTTCTAGTTCAGTTCTAGTTCAGTTCTAGTTCAGTTCTAGTTCAGTTCTAGTTCTTCTAGTTCAGTTCAGTTCTAGTTCAGTTCTAGTTCAGTTCTAGTTCAGTTCTAGTTCAGTTCTAGTTCAGTTCTAGTTCAGTTCTAGTTCAGTTCTAGTTCAGTTCTAGTTCAGTTCTAGTTCAGTTCTAGTTCAGTTCTAGTTTCAGTTCTAGTTCAGTTCTAGTTCAGTTCTAGTTCAGTTCTAGTTCAGTTCTAGTTTCAGTTCTAGTTCAGTTCTAGTTCAGTTCTAGTTCAGTTCTAGTTCAGTTCTAGTTCAGTTCTAGTTCAGTTCTAGTTCAGTTCTAGTTCAGTTCTAGTTCAGTTTCTAGTTCAGTTCTAGTTCAGTTCTAGTTCAGTTCTAGTTCAGTTCTAGTTCAGTTCTAGTTCAGTTCTAGTTCAGTTCTAGTTCAGTTCTAGTTCAGTTCTAGTTCAGTTCTAGTTCAGTTCTAGTTCAGTTCTAGTTCAGTTCTAGTCAGTTCTAGTTCAGTTCTAGTTCAGTTCTAGTTCAGTTCTAGTTCAGTTCTAGTTCAGTTCTAGTTCAGTTCTAGTTCAGTTCTAGTTCAGTTCTAGTTCAGTTCTAGTTCAGTTCTAGTTCAGTTCTAGTTCAGTTCTAGTTCAGTTCTAGTTCAGTTCTAGTTCAGTTCTAGTTCAGTTCTAGTTCAGTTCTAGTTCAGTTCTAGTTCAGTTCTAGTTAAGTTCTAGTTCAGTTCTAGTTCAGTTCTAGGTTCAGTTCTAGTTCAGTTCTAGTTCAGTTCTAGTTCAGTTCTAGTTCAGTTCTAGTTCAGTTCTAGTTCAGTTCTAGTTCAGTTCTAGTTCAGTTCTAGTTCAGTTCTAGTTCATTCTAGTTCAGTTCTAGTTCAGTTCTAGTTCAGTTCTAGTTCAGTTAGTCTAGTTCAGTTCTAGTTCAGTTCTAGTTCAGTTCTAGTTCAGTTCTAGTTCAGTTCTAGTTCAGTTCTAGTTCAGTTCTAGTTCAGTTCTAGTTCAGTTCTAGTTCAGTTCTAGTTCAGTTCTAGTTCAGTTCTAGTTCAGTTCTAGTTCAGTTCTAGTTCAGTTCTAGTTCAGTTCTAGTTCAGTTCTAGTTCAGTTCTAGTTCAGTTCTAGTTCAGTTCTAGTTCAGTTCTAGTTCAGTTCTAGTTCAGTTCTAGTTCAGTTCTAGTTCAGTTCTGTTCAGTTCTAGTTCAGTTCTAGTTCATTTCTAGTTCAGTTCTAGTTCAAGTTCTAGTTCAAGTTCTAGTTCAGTTCTAGTTCAGTTCATAGTTCAGTTCTAGTTCAGTTCTAGTTCAGTTCTAGTTCAGTTCTTAGTTCAGTTCTAGTTTCCAGTTCTAGTTGCAGTTCTAGTTCAGTTCTAGTTCAGTTCTCATTTCAGTTCTAGTTCATGTTCTAGTTCAGTTCTAGTTCAGTTCTAGTTCATTCTAGTCAGTGCTAGTTCAGTTCTAGTTCAGTTCTAAGTTCAGTTCTAGTTCAGGTTCTAGTTCAGTTCTAGTTCAGTTCTATTTCAGTTCTAGTTCAGTTCTAGTTCAAGTTCTAGTTCAGTTCTAGTTCAGTTCTAGTTCAGTTCTAGTTCAGTTCTAGTTCAATTTCTAGTTCAGTCTAGTTCAGTTCTAGTTCAAGTTTCTAGTTCAGTTCTAGGTCAGGTTCT